CGTGTACCTATGCATCTTGTTGACCATATCTCGGCTACCGACTGTCTCGTCACACTTGCCGCCGTGGAAGTCTATGGGGCTTTCAAGCGTCGATAAAAGCGTGATGAACTCAAAACCCGATGGTGAAACGTGAGTGGATAATTACTCGACAGTAACGGCAACGTTGTGCATTTCAATTTTATAATATAGAAACAGATATTTGTTCGAATTGTTTAGGAATGTTGTGGTCTGAAATGAACATGATTATGAAACGAATCTCCTGTAAAGCATCATAATCCGGATAATTTAAATATGCAATATGGAAGAAAACATATATTTTTGAATTGATCAATGCTGCATGTTGATTTATCATAAAAATTAAAAAAAAATGCGCTTACAAGACAAACAACAATGTCCTTTAGAAAATAACCGTTGAGCATGCGTATTAGAGAATTTCATTGTTTTAACCAACGATAACCCGGATGTTTGTATAAATGTACAGTATTGAACAGTATTAAAAATGACATGTTCTAACTGGCCCCATATTGCATTTTTAAAAGAATAGAGGTCTGTCGTTATGCGGGGATAATCCAACCAATTGCAACCGCCACTGGCAGCAGGGGACAGACGGGGTCTTGGTTATTAGTCTGTGATTGGGTTATGTGTTCGTATGTCTGGAACACTATATATCAGAATTAGACAACTTTAGCGAATTATTCTAATATGTGAAATTATTTTCCACTGTCATGTTTCAATATATACAGAAATCCGTGTGACTGAGAAATCCCGTGTCAGCCTTCTCCTGTTTCGATCAGAGATCAGTATACTTTTATTTGCTTATTTAAGATTTTCCAACATACATTTCAATAATACCATGGCAGAAAGTAAGGTGTGTCTGGTGTGACACGCACCTTCCCCATGTGTAAAGTATACACAATATAACTCGATTTACCCAATTTACGTTGGACGGCACTTGAAACATGGACAGACGGTGTGCCAATATGAAGTACAATTTCGTTCAGTATTAAACTAATGGACAGACGGTGTGCCAATATGAAGTACAATTTCGTTCAGTATTAAACATGAACAGACGGTGTGCCAATATGAAGTACAATTTCGTTCAGTATTAACCATGGACAGACGGTGTGCCAATATGAAGTACAATTTCGTTCAGTATTAAACGAATGGACAGACGGTGTGCCAATATGAAGTACAATTTCGTTCAGTATTAAACATGAACAGACGGTGTGCCAATATGAAGTACAATTTCGTTCAGTATTAAACTAATGGACAGACGGTGTGCCAATATGAAGTACAATTTCGTTCAGTATTAAACATGAACAGACGGTGTGCCAATATGAAGTACAATTTCGTTCAGTATTAAACATGAACAGACGGTGTGCCAATATGAAGTACAATTTCGTTCAATATTAAACATGAACAGACGGTGTGCCAATATGAAGTACAATTTCGTTCAGTATTAAACTAATGGTCAGACGGTGTGCCAATATGAAGTACAATTTCGTTCAGTATTAAACATGAACAGACGGTGTGCCAATATGAAGTACAATTTCGTTCAGTATTAAACATGAACAGACGGTGTGCCAATATGAAGTACAATTTCGTTCAGTATTAAACTAATGGTCAGACGGTGTGCCAATATGAAGTACAATTTCGTTCAGTATTAAACATGGACAGACGGTGTGCCAATATGAAGTACAATTTCGTTCAGTATTAAACTAATTAAGAAATATTCTCAAAAGCATTATCTCACCCTTTTTTTGTTAAAACCTGAATGTTGATACATTTGCACCGGTTAACTGATGTTCACGTGACCTCATTAATATGCGTAACTGCATTTCCCGTCAGTCAGTCTTTTAGTAAATATGTGGCTAATCGCATTTTGATGGAAATACTATATTTTGAGACTTCAATAGAACAAGTTTTAAGACACAGGCATATTTACTGTGTTATGCACACGGGAGCTATAAATATAAATTAATTTTAAAATGGTGGACGGATCTGAGATAGAAAATAGATACATTTCTGAGATTTCTGGATTGTATTTTGAAAACTCTCGGGAATTTTTATGTGAAAAAAATCATCCATCTTTGGCTATATTTTGAATCAGGCACTGGTTAAATCATAGTCACGTGACAGTTACGACCTTGACCGTCACGTGACCATGATATCACGGCAAACGAGAGCCAGGATTTCAAAACAAAATATTGTCTACAAAATTTCCTGAGGGCGGAATAAGAGGGTTCACCATTACAGGATACCAGTACCAGCTCATGGTCTATCAATGCGTTGACAATTTGGTTTTGCGATCACTTTGTTAAAAATCAGAATCTAGCTGGCAGACAAATTCATTTGTAAATAGAATTCCAAACTTTATATTTTAGAAAACGTGGTAATTTCACCTGCAACCTGCGTTGTAAAATTGAAGAATGCCAGTGGCGGATCCAGCAAAATGTATTGGGTGGGGGGGGGGGGGGGAGCTTCGCTTTACATTACGGAGCGAAAATCGCAGAGGAGCTATGCGTAATCCAGATGATATGAATCGTTCGCAAAGAAGCTATGCGTAATCCAGATGATATGAATCGTCATGCGTTTTTTTTGGGGGGGTGCATGGCCCCCCTGGTACCCCCTCTGCATCCGCCACTGAAGAATGCATCACAAACTCAAGTTGCTCAGACCGATAAATATAATACATGGACAATGGCAGTAGTCCATCACTTTAGTCCGTCCATTGAAAAGGGGTACATTGCTCGTAACGTCTGGTTATATCGAATAATTAACAAAGACTACGATTACCGACTATCATTTTTCGCAACTACGGATTGCCGTACAAAGGAAAATCACCGCGTACACGGAGAGAAGGCGCGTGCGTGTAAATTCCAAGTATAATTCGATATGCTTGTCAGTGGAGACAATTACAGAGAAATCCATGGAATACTTGTTTCCACACATTTGCGACATCATATCTCATTATTAAGTTTGACAACAATAAGAAAGCGACATAGACAACATCACATCATATTATGACGCGCACAATGTCCGATAATAATCGCTGTGACGTAGACAATACTAGTATCAGACAAATCGTTATGACGTGGCAATCGATTGTAAGTGAAGATATAAAAGAAGTGTCCAACATTGTGTTTACACAGTCTATTTTAATCAGATCTCACAATCTATAGTCTATTTTAATACGATTCAACATGTCTCAATCATATTTCCAAAGATTTCGGGTTTTTCTGAATTCAAGAGGTAAGTTACGTTACAATGACTTACCATCTTCATCACCACGTGTTGATATTGTTGTATCTCATATACCGTTTTGTTTTATGTAGGTCAAATGATAAAGGAACGGATATCACGGAATCACAAGAAAAGCACGCAAGTAGATAAAGGATTGATACCTATATACACAGTTAACAACGTCTACGAATTAATGCAGACTTTTGTAAGTAACTGAATTAACTTCATAACTTAATCAAGACGGGAAAAATAGATTTAGCAACGACGCGTTTCTACGATTAAATGAGTGACACGTCACAAAGGATATTCAAAGCGTCCATACCGTCTTGATCTGTAGTTATTTTTTTAGAAATGTTACTACATTTTAAGTGAAGAACGACTACACGACCAAACAAAGTTGTTTATTCGAACAAAATTACCTTCTACTCCATACATGGTCACGTCATAGTCACGTCATGGTCACACCAGGATCACCGTAATGTGTTATGTGCCGTAACCATCACGTGACAGTAATTTAATTACTGTAAAATGACTAATTTTCACTGGGTTTAAATTTCACTGATTTACCATTTCAGGCATATTCAGTGGGTTTTAAATTCACGATTTTATCATTTAGATAATGTGTTCTATGCACAATTTTGCATATTCACTGGGTTTTAATTTAGCGCATTTTTCCAGTCAGCGAAATAAGCCAAATTAAAACCCAGTGAATAATTAACCCCTTTACAGTAATTGTCATTAATAACATTGTTGCTATGTCATACTGACACGTTACTATTAATTATATTTTATTAAATATTCATTTTTTCACAATAATAGTTTTTGACTTAATATTTGTTATTTGTTGTTTTTTTCTAGGCGCTATCCGAAGACGTACGAGTAGTAATGGAAGTTGCAAAGTGCGGCATTCAATAGTGACAACGTAACTTGCAGACAGTGTTGTAAACACGTCAGAATAATTAACACCTTTAACCTTTAACACTTAACCTTTAACCTCTGAACAGAAATACCATTAAAAATGTTATCAATGACGAATGAAAAAAATAAACTGTAACAAAACATTTATGTGTTTCTCGTGATTCTTTGCATACCTTTATTTAGACCCAAGTCGTTTGAAACACAATACTCACTAAAACACATCCCCACAGGGGAACTGGGTAAACTTGCCCACGCCTCAAGACCTATTTTTCCTTGACATGAAGATTGGATAAACTCGTTCATTTAGACACATAAGGGACTGAACAGAAACTACAGAAGGGAGGACAGGTGTGTTTTGGGATAGAATCAACAGGTGTTGTGTAAACAACAGGAATATTGCTATATTAATGGAGAAGGTAACAAACAACATGTGTACACATTCAAGAACATCTGTACTACAACTAAAATATTGTTGCGTAAAATAAGTAATAGCTTCCGATAATGACAAAGAGGCCAGTAATAAACACGATGTTACCATCGTGTAAATACGAATAAATATAAATTAGCATAATTGTAAGACGAGAAACCAGTGTGCTTCATAATCAAGGGAAGCAAAACTGGTCGTGTTAATGTTTGATAGATTCAAGCCACACGACATAAATTCGAGGTAAGGCCAGAAATAATGTCGGGTTTGTGACGTTTTAGAAACAGAGTGAAAACAAATTCCTATCTTTGACTGTGTTTCCGGCCTATGATCACGCGAGGACTGGTAGGAGGTAGGCATCGGATTAGCGCCCCCAGGGTAGGAGGATTTGGTTAGTCCTTCGTTTTTAAAAACAATGGCGACTCGCACGATTGGCATCGCTGTCCTTTGTTATTTCGTTGTTGTCCCTTATGCATTATGCAACGGCGATTCAGTGTCAAGTGTAATTAACGCATTTGTGGTTCCACATAGCCACATGGATGTCGGATGGGTCTACACAGTAGATGTAAGTATTAAGTTTGACATGATCTTTTTAAATCTGAAGACGTCATTCGATGAAGTGTGATTTCGTAACAATATAGCGTTCCGGCTGATATCGTGTGCTGTTAACTAGAAATTAAGGTGTAATTTAATAAAAAAATCGTCGATTGCATTTGAATATCCCTGTTCCAGTGTGACGTGATCACAGTCGAATAGAAATGCAGTGTTGAATGCTGCGTTTTCAGTCGGAGGTGCACGGTGGACGTGTGATCACGATTCTGAAGCTTCGTGGAGCAAACCATTATATTAGCGGGGTGGGGGGTGGTGGGGTGATGTGGTGTAAGGATGGACGTTTTTGTGTCAGGAAAAGATGTTAATTTCCAGGCCTGTTAATATGAGGGAAATCAAGATATCATATTTGTTGTTATTAAAAGACAGCATTGTAATATATTTTTAGCGGAGTCAATCCATGATAAATTATCTCGATTCGTCTTCCCTTTATATCCCACTACGGATTCTGGTGGTGAAGTGAGCAG